AAATCTAGAAGATCGGAAAGGTGTAGACTATTTTACATCCTGTGTATTCGTGTCATATTCCTCGTCATCATGCATCGTGCGAGATATACCTTATTTAATCAAAATAAAAGTAACGAAAGCTTATGATTGACTCCATTAAATAATCATGGATATGAATCTGAAGAGGCTAGGAGGGTTTGAATGAATGCTAACATGTTATACATTTTGGTTTTGAAAAGAAATTCACCGATTATCCATATAAAATTAATCAAAGTCTTCCATGTTGACATTTGATAAGGATATTTTTCTTAATGTCTTAAAGTTGTCGGATTATTAATACTGTCAAAAAATACAATATAATTTTCCGTATGAATCCTAGGTTTGTTGGTCAATGCAAGGGATCCCTTGAACAATATAAGCCTCGCACGTTGAAATGTTATAAACAGTTCGAATTAAAGAAATTAGATATTTATGTATTGTTATTGAAAGATTCCAATGCAAAATTAATTTGGATACACTAATGACTGTTGGAAATAATATATTTCAAGATGGAATATAAGTAGAAATATAATTCATTCGGTCTAACAACTTAAATATTTTTAGGGGATAAAACATGATTTTCATTCAAATCTTTTGAGTCTTCACCTCATCATCATCCTAAACTTAAAAGGTTTACATGTGGGCAACGTTAATTTATTTAAATTTTATTTTTAACACGTTTCTTCACATGTAGATGATTTATATATTTTTGTTCAAAGGTTGACGTGTGCAAAATTTTGCATAAATCAATGATGACAATTGATGAGATTTTACGGAAGGTTTGTTCGACTATAATACGATATTATCTATCTCATTTAAAAGGTAAAACGATTAGTTACATGTATTAATTAATATTCTTGACTCAACAATAAAGAAAATTCCATGTAATATACTTTTGATGAAAATTGAAACTCTTGATTATAATAACTTAAGCTTTTAGAGAGGTGGTTTTGACAATATCCAAGCTTCTGCATTCAAAAAAATTAATTCAACTTTCCAACAAAATAATCAGTGGGCTAATTTTATTTGTTTATCATAATAAATCAAATACATGCATATTCTACTTTATGTAAATAAAAAAGTAAAATAAAATAATTAATGGAAGGATTATCTTGTAATGAAAAGCAAAAAAGATGAGATGATATGCCAGCTAAGGCTTGACTCCTTTTAAGACATAAATGATTATGTAGATAATTATCAAATGCAATAAGGCCACAACAAATAACTTTTTGTTTTATAAAAAAAAAAAAAGGCTTTTATTCTTAAAAAAAATGAATTAACTCTAACAAAATAAGTTATCTTGGAGTACAACGTTTTTTGGGATTAATCACAACCATTTAATAACAGTATTATATTTTTCATACAAGGAAATTATATACACTCGTAACATAGAAGAAAATTTACATATATAAATTATAAATCTAACTGCTTAAATTTTGAAAAGTCGAATCATTTATGAACCGGATACGTATCAAGTTTTTGAAGTAAAAATCAATTACCAGCATGTGAAGAGTATATGTTGATAAAAAATTGTTTTGGCTATAACAAGTGATGTTGGATGACATTAATAATTATCTACTATGATCAACGAGGTGAAGACTACTCAATAGGTGCTCTACATTCATGCCTAGTTGTCGACCACTCTGAGGCCCTCTACGTCCATGCCCAACCGTCGACCTTCATGAGCACTCTACATTTATGCCCGACCTTCGACCCTTATGAGCACTCTACGTCTATACTAGGCCGTCGACCCTATGAACACTTTACGTCCATGCCCGACCGTTGATCCCATGAGCACTCTACATCCATGCCCGACCATCGACCCCCATGAACACTACATTAGTGCCCAATTGTCAACCCTCGTGAGCACTACGTCAATGTCCGACTGTCGACCTCATGAGCAATCTATGTCCATGTCGACCGTCGACACCCATAAACACTCTACGTCCATACCCGACCGTTGACCTCATGAGCACTTTACGTCCATTCTAGGCCGTTGACCCCCATGAGCACTCTACGTCTGTACTGGGCCATCAATCCATACCACCATGCAGCTGACCCAACACTTAACCATAAAATCATCAATAAATTGGATGGAAATCGCTTAACGGTTATCACAGATGCAACCAATTGTCAGATAGTTGGAGGCCCCCACTCAGAATGTGGGATAGTGGAAGAGGTACGTGAGACACGTGGAACCGTACTTGCACAGCATTCACGTGGCTTCAAGCACCTATAAATACACCCAAGGCGAAACAGGTATCTCTCAGAAAAACTTTGACTATTTGACTACCTTCTTTACTTTTCCTCACTCAATACTAATTCTCACGTCGGAGATAAAACGGGGGAGAAAGTTCCGCCCTCATTTTTTAAGGAAACACTTGCTTGTTGGAATAGTAGAAACACCGTATGTATCCAAGGGAAACGGAGGTATTGTTTCATTACTATTTCAACAAGTTAAACTTTAAGAAGAGGTACAAACAATTCCTAGAGACAACATATTTCTAGTTTCTAAAAGGATAAATATATCTACTTGAGATGGATAAAGACTCATCTACTTTCCGATTTTGTCTACATCAAATTACCAAATTACCATAAGAATTTACATGCCAAATTGTATTTTCTTGGTTCCACACAAGTATTCAAATGTATTGAATGTGCATGGCCCCTCATGCACTAACTCATGGAGAAAAGCTATGGGATTATTTGCTAAAAAATTAAAGGAAATTTCAGTCCGATTAGAATATATATATCATGAACTTAAGGCCTGTATGCAAGAATACTTTAATACAGACATCCTTTTCCTCTTTTTAGCATCCTTTCATCTCCAGCCCCTCCTTTATTTTCAATACATACTTTCAAGCTATTTTAGCAAAATAATATAAATTAAAAATATTTTTATTCTCCAGTTTTAAAAATACTAATCATATAGCGGCGTACCATCTTGATTATAAAAACTAGTCTTTGACTAAAATAATATTGCTATGTAAAGAATGGTTCTTGTAATATTGATGTGGCAATAATGAGAGAGAGGAAGGCAAGTAGGGGAAGCATAATCACATGGACATCGCCTTTCTTTCATTGCCTGCAGGCTGGAATGGGGGCTATCAACAAATTAAGTTAAAGTGAAGAAAAATAAGTTGAAATCTCATTATTCTGCTCACTATTGCGTATCTAACGCTCGCTCTGAAGTTAAAAAAGAAAAAACCAGTCACCGGGGAATGATTGTCAGTTTTTGTGAGTACAAAACAACCTTAAAATCTTCAGCTTGTGGTCATATTTTATTCTGTCTTTCCCAAATTGAGTACTACATACTTTTTTCTCCTCTCACTAAAGTGGTGTCATATGATAGTATGATACTATGTTAATGTATGATATTTCTTTGGTTTGCTCTGGATAGATTTTTTTACTGAAGTAACAGGAATTCTTATGTAAATTTCTTGAATTTCTTGAAAATCTGCATTTTTAATCTTCTTCAGCTTAAAGTTTCCTCAACTTCTGGTTGTGGGATTACTTTAACATTTTTTCTTTTCTCTTTTCTTTTTTCTTTTTTCTTTTTAACCAATCTTGGGGAAAATAAATACAGGAATTTGTTAGTGGTTCCGACAAAATCTATTGCTGGCAGCTGGAGGTGGAACTTTCTGAGGTAGCGGTGTCTTAAAAAGTGAAGGTTTCAACAGTTTAATAAAGTTCGTTCTTTGTCTCACTCTCCTATGGTGGTGCTGCTCCTTCTTGTAAATACTTAGGTTTAGAAGCATAAACAAGACTCAGAAATGAAGTTTATGAAACTCGGATCTCGCCCTGATACTTTCTTCACTACTGAGGCTGTGAGGTACTTTCATTACTTAATTCTTTTTAATTTTTTCTTGATTTTTAAAATTTAAAATGTCATTTGTTGATTATAATTTTATTTTATTATTATTTTTTTTTTCATTCTGGGAATTTTGATGTTCATATTTTATGTGGGGGTATTTATGAACAAGAAAACTTTAGACCTTGTGGTGTTGATGCAGGTCTGTGTCATCTGAGGTTTCTAGTGATCTTATAATTCAAGTGAAAGAAAGCAGATATTTACTTCACAAGGTGAGTTTTCTCATTTTTATTTTTTTTGTATACTTTTGAATATATATATAATAAGGGAAAATTTCTAGGGAAAAAAAGGGTGATTTAAATTTATTTTGTTTTTTGTTTTTTGTTGCATCATAAAGTCATGTAAAGGTGTATCAAACGCGGACTGATAGTTTGAGTTAATTTACAATGCAGTTTCCCCTGCTATCCAAGAGCCTGTGCCTGCAGAAACTGTGTTCAGGAAGCCCTGAATCCTCACAACACCAAATAGTCCAACTCCCTGATTTTCCTGGTGGGTTGGAAGCATTTGAGCTCTGTGCAAAATTCTGCTATGGAATCACAATTACTCTCAGTGCCTACAACATTGTATCGGTTCGATGTGCTGCAGAATACCTTCAAATGACGGAGGATGTTGAGAAGGGCAATTTAATTTGCAAGATTGAAATTTTCTTCAATTCTTGCATACTTCATGGATGGAGGGACTCTATTGTAACTTTACAAAGTACCAAATCCTTCCCCTTGTGGTCTGAAGATCTTGGGATAACGAGTCGATGTATTGAAGCCATTGCTTCAAAAGTTTCGGCCCATCCATCGAAGGTGAGTCTATCCCATAGTTATTCGAGAAGAGGTAGAGATGATGTATCCTGCAATGGATCAGAGAGCCAAAGGCATAAAAATACAAGTAAAGGCTGGTGGGCTGAAGATTTAGCAGAATTGGGGATGGATCTTTATTGGAGAACAATGATTGACATCAAATCAGGTGGGAAGGTCCCCTCGAATCTCATTGGAGACGCATTGCGAATTTATGCATCGCGTTGGCTACCAAACATATCGAAGTACTTACATATTGAGAAACAAGCAGAATCTGATCACGAGTTGGGCTCGACTGGGGAGGTGACTTCAAAACACCGGCTGTTGTTGGAGTCAATTGTTAGTTTATTGCCAGCAGAGAAAGGCTCAGCTTCATGTAGTTTTCTTTTGAAACTGTTGAAGGCGGCCAATATACTAAAAGCGTCATCCTCTTCAAAGATGGAATTGGCAAGAAGGGTTGCAGTTCAATTGGAAGAAGCCACAGTTGGAGATTTGTTAATTCCATCATTATCGAACACAGATGGCATTATATACGATGTAGATCTTGTTATGACCATATTCGAGCAATTTATGTTACAAGGACAAAGTCCCCCTACAAGTCCTGCGAGATGCAAGGGGGATTTCGAAAGGAGAAGGTCTCGTTCGGCGGAAAATGTTGAACTTGAGTTTCAAGAGAGTAGGAGATCATCTTCTGCATCACATAGTTCCAAACTCAAGGTAGCAAAGCTTGTGGATGGGTTTCTCCAAGAGATAGCGAGGGACAAAAATTTGCACTTGTCGACGTTCATTGCAGTAGCAGAAGCAATTCCAGAATTCACAAGGCTCGACCATGATGACCTCTACAAAGCTATTGACATCTATCTAAAGGTAGAATTACAGACAACACATGATAATATGCTTATTCCTTTCATGCATCATCATCTAATTCCATAATCACCGATTCAAGAGAATTTTGAGGAGTATATGCCTCCCTATGAAAACTCCTCTGTCTCCCAATTTAGCTTGAAACAATCTATTAAATCCTGATGTCATATTGGTGTAGGTCTTAATTATTATTAACGCCTAAATATTTTACCCGAACTATGCATTATTTGATCATAACATTGTGTCTTAATACTGTTGAGTATTGTCTAAATCACCTTGACAAGCATACCAGATGAGTTTAATAGAAATTTGTGTTGCACTATACTTATCTTCTTCTATTTTCCTTTTTCAAGTTGATTTCGAATTGTTATTCCGTGGAACAATTCATTATTAGTAATGTTAGAAGTGATACGCAAATATCTGTAATTGAATGTGCAGGGGCATCCAGAACTCAATAAGAGCGAAAGGAAACGCCTGTGTCGAATATTAGACTGCAAAAAGTTATCCATGGAAGCCTGCATGCATGCTGCACAAAATGAAATGCTCCCACTAAGAGTGGTAGTACAAGTTCTCTTCTTCGAGCAAGCTCGTGCTGCAATGGCTGGCGGCCAGGTGATTGAGCTTCCGAGCAATATCTCAGAGCTTTTCTCCGCTCATAATAACCAGTCAAAGGTTAAAGCTACTTTTAGCACCAATGGAGCAGTGGCACCAGAAGATAAATGGAGTATGGCCGGGCTCAAATCACCAAAGTCAAACCTTTCAACCCTTAAGATGAGACTGGCAGAAGATGAGGACTTAGACGAAAACTTTTCCGAAGTGATGGAAAAATCTTCCAAGCCTAACAGATCTAAAAGTATGTTCAGTAAGCTGTGGTCCATCAATAGAAATGCAAGTGAAAAGAATTGATAGAAGTTTTATTCAATTTCTGGTTGGGGTGGTCCAGATAAACTAAATTGCCACTTTTATTACTTTCTTCCGTTATCGAGCAGAAATCTTTGTACTCTTTAGGAAAAACAAAATCACTGTGAATTATTGGTGTAACCTGTGATAATAACGTAAGGAGATAGTAAATTTTGACAAAGAGGGAAATTCTCTCTTCGTGCAAACTGGAATGAAGCACTTGTGAAACTAAAATGTGGTAGAGCAAATGCTGGTGGAGTTTATATGTATCCATTACTTCCTGTCTCTAGAAATGAGTTTCAACTTCATGACATTCGACATTGTAACTGCATGTTCAGAACACAATACTCGACAGTATAATTAACAAGATTATTACTTGTTTTTTCCTTCCTTAGTACTAGACAGAGTGTTACATAATCTCCATAACCAAACATGCCATAAGCAAGCAATTTAGTTTCTTTTTTTCTCGACATTTCATGCCCTGCAGTTTACTATATATTGTTGTTATCAGAAAGGGTGGTGATTATTTGACAAGATTTTTTGGGTTTGAGCAAGAAATAATAGAGAGCTGAAGTGAAGATCGAACGCTATTGTTTTGCCTAAGGTTAAGAAAAAGAAGAAAATACCTCAACTGAAATATTTTTGTCAACATGTGGTACGTATATTATACCGTAAGAATTTAGTTTATTTTTTTCTTGATACTTCTCAGAGCAATCTAATCCAGCATATATAACAAGAAATTCTGGCAGTTCTGTGAACATCAAGATCTTTCATATCTTATGACAGGAATAATCTGATGTTATTAGCAATTAATCCTTATATGAAGTATCTTGAAATTCACAGCAACTGACAGTGAAATTCTATCTAGGTATACTAATCTAATTTTTCTGGAAGATGCTCAAAGTGCTTTTGTCTTATTATAGGAAAAGATTAACATTAATCTGATTCCTCAATTATTAACTCCACATTTCAAAGAGGATTGAGCTACGGGTGACATCGGGGTTGACAAAATATACACCCACACATGGGGTCGGGATTATTTTATTCAGGCGGGACCCACCTCGGCATGTGAGGGACCAGTCATCCATTGTGTCAACCATGATGTTCGTTTGACTTTTTCCTTTAAAAGATTAGTGTGTCAGCATATCAGTTCTTCCAAGTATTTTATATACAAAAGAGATATCAATTCAAGAAATGATTCAGATTTTTGTGGGAGAAAAAAAAATCTCAAAATAAATGATGTGCAGATCTAATGTTTGCCCAATTATAATTATAGGGATATTTAATCCAATGATTCTGTATCAGCATGCTCAACATGGGGACAATAATCTCTTCTCTGTTGCAATAAATTTAATGGTAAATCTGGATTAATTATGATTAATTATAATTCAGTCTGGTTTAAGGTGAAAAAAGATTGAGTACATTTACTTTAATTGATCACATATAAACATATCAGTAATTGACAAGACATAAAGCATGCTTGCTTTTGTTACTGTGCATCTGTTTAACCCTTTGGAGAGATGAATCAATGTATTTATTTGGATCAGTAGGGATTAATGGGGGCCCCAACCACGTACTTTGACCATTATTCAACAATCCCAAGGAATTAAGAGATCAAGTAGAAAATTCGTTCGTTTTTTATCTCTGTATCTCATGTGGTTATTCGATAACCCTTTGGAGATATCAATCTATGTATTTATTGGATCAATAGGAATTAATGGGATCTAAACCCAGTAGTTTGATGTTTATTCAACAATTCCAAGGAACTAAGGGATCAAATAGAAAATTCGTTCCTTTCTTATCGATCCATATCTCATAAGGGTATTCGATATTCGTTTCTCGTGATGATTAATCGTACTTTGGACGTAGATTATCACTATTTTTATTCTAGCAATGAAAGAAGGCTACACCAAAAGGTCTCAAATTAACCAATACATAGAATTCATACATGGGGATACAACATTTTTCTTGCTAGGACTTCTGATATGCATAACAGACGATCTATAAATCACATATAAAACTTGCATAAAGCCCATAAATCAATCACAGAAACAGTAGAAAAACGACTTGATTGTTCATATTACTGAGCCTCCACTGCATTATTTTGCCTGGAAGTATCAGTACTCGGATTGGCTTTGGATCGAGTATCCTGGAAAGCCGTTGAGTCGATGCTCTTACTCTGGTTGAGGGTCAGGGTCGGGGTACGATGAAGCCTGCAACGGAAGGAACCTGCATGAGTTGTTGGGGAGCATAAGCAATTATTTCTGGAAATACTTCCTTGTCTAGCAAGCTTTCCAGTAGATGATGGAGATATAACTTCAGATTCTGATGGAATTTCAACCTTCATATCTTTATTACTCATTGTATGTTGTTAATGTCCTGAAATCATTGAACATTGTACAGTGTATGTAAGAAAATTATGTGGCTATTGTTTGAGGGAATGAAGAAGAAAGAATGTAAAAAGAATCAAACTTTTGCTGACAAATAATTCCAAAAATTAAACAACTTGAATGACTGATTCTAGAGTGTACCTTTTGGAGTGTTCTTCAAATGGCTAGGGACTCTACCAAGAATTTTCTTGGAGAATTTCCCCTGCTTTAAATAAAGATAGGAGGGATAAAGGGATATGGTATGGAATATGGATTGACCGTAGGTAAAGATAAGAAAGGAGATGAGCGAGCACTATGTTAATCAAATCATGATTCTTACACGCGTCTTTTTGAACGTCCAGAAGTTTAGAATATAATTGATATTTATAAATTGGATAACTATAAAGAATAGAACTAATCTCCTGCACATAGTGGACAGGAAAAATGTTACCACTTATCAGTGAATAATGGGCAAAAGATCAGTTATGATCTAAAGAATACTTAAAAAAATAGATAAAATTGTTCGTCTTGTCTAATGTTACGTGCCAAACATATTGTCCCTATATTGCAAACCACACTCATTTATTTTTTTGGGTGGAGGGAGACCAAATGAGCAATTCTACTCATCTAAAACTCAAACAAACTGTCAAATTCTAAATTAATAATTTTAAACGAGTCATCATCTGGACAAGTTCAAGGTTGCTTAAATAAGAAAACAATAATCAAATATAAGGAATAAGAATTTAATTTTACCTTAAAGTTGCACAGAAATATCTTTATCCAAAATTTTAAATTATTGAAAAGAGATAAAATTATTCATTTAAATTATGACATCAAACGTCCTTCTCTTGCAATCTCTTTCTTTATCTACTCCATTAACGTCCCACCAAAATTGCATAACTTTATCATAATGCTTCAACCACTCTTTTATAGAAATATATATGATTTGAGAAAATCAATAGGAATATCAAATCACAATGGATCCTTTTTTCATTATTGTTGTTTGAATCATTAGGGTTACACGCCAATACAAGTCACATTTTGGAGGGGACCCATGTAGTATAATGGCAGACAGTCTTCTAGGGGTGTCAATTTTTCCATAAAAGCCGTATGTATCAAGGTCACATTCAAGATAATATGAGGATAAGAGAGGAGGATTAAAATATCCTACCCGAAGAGTCATGTTTGTTGTACAATAATTTTTACAACAAGTTTGACAACATGCTACGTGACAGATTATCATTGGACAGTTTGAAAAATATTTTATCTTTCTCATCAACATTTTTTGACACCTACACCATTGTCAAGCATGTTGTACAAATTCATTGTACAAATGGCTAAATCCTTACTCTAGTACTCTGTGTGATTTGTTGTGCGCATTTGAAGGAGTCCGATCACTATCCCCAAACTCGATACATGAACAAAGTCAATAAATATATGTGCGTGAGTGTGCGCACTTGTATATATATTTATAGTTAACTTTTTTATAACTGATTTTTCAAATAATATTTAAATATATAAAAATTTTCAAATACTAATTGTGTAATTTGGTGGCTTTAAGTTAAACCTACATAAGCTAAGATTAGACTTTTGTGCCTCCTACAATGAATTAGAATTTGTAAATTCCACTTATTTCGAATTTTACATGAACAAAAATTATAAGTTCATCCTTTTGTGGTTTGTCGATATTTAGACAAAGCCATTCTTTAATCTTTTGTAGTATAAATTTTGGGATCGTCGAATAAGAGAGTTGAGTACTCTGTACATATTAGTTCATATCCAACCATTTTGGCGTTAAAAAAAAAAAAAAAAAAAAAAAAAAACCCTTGTTCAGCACATATGTTTAGTATCGAACTACGTAAGTCCTTCTTCTTCTTTTTTTTTATGACTAAGGTGTTTGAGTTTTGTCCAATTAATCCTGAGGAATGGCGGCCTTCTCCCCCAATTCACCATTCGGGTAACTTCAGACGCGATCACAACTTATATACATTTGGACCGGACATTTAGGATACGATTCTCTTTCCTGTGAACCTCCCTTTACAACGTGCGGACAAGACCCCGACTAATTTTGAGCAGTGACGGCCTTCCCCTCGATTCACCACCAAAGTAAATTCGGATGCAGTCACAACTTATAGCTGTTAGAAGATGAAAGATTGGACCATGGAGTCAAGTCTTTGTATTCTTTATCTCTTTATAGTTTGCTTAAAGCTCAATCTTAAGAAACCGTTTGCATCAAATTGTTAGAAGATGAAAGATTGGAGGACTTCACATTTCGAAGATCATGGAAATATTGATCACTATTAGGAAAATAATAAAACAATAAATCATTATTTTCAAGAACATGGGATCATCAATTATTATTATGCTACACGTGGATTATTATTACAATAATTGGTGAGAACATGGAATCATCAATTATCGTTTCTTAATAAATTGTACAGGCTTCAATCACCTACAAATGTCACTCCTCCAATTATTTAACACTACAATTCCTACAAGCGTGGGTCGAGTTTGGCTAAAAAATAATGGAATTGAGAAAATACAGCTAAAAATGGACACGGGTATTCACGTGGTTCACCCAATTTAGACTACGTCCATGGACAAGTATAGGAGGATTTTGCTCTAGTAGGAGAATTACACCACACTCACTAAATACAAGGAGATAACAACAATTAATCTATTTTGTAATTAGGAGAAAACAAGTAGGAAATACTCTCTTAATTTTCTCTCTACTCAATTTGCTTTCTACAAATTTTTCCTCTCTACATGCACTATTTTTCTCCCTACTTCAATCCTATATTTATAGGAAATTTAGCCACCACTTGCATTAAATTCCACCTCCTAATGAAGAGGAAAGATGGCTAGATTTTTCTCCACTTGTGGCTATTATTAGTTGGAAACTCCAATTTTGCCACCACCACCACTTGCATGCATGTATGTATTTTTCTTAACCATTAAGAGATCAACAACCTTAAATTGGGCCAAATAGCCTATTCACTGATACACTTTGTAATTTTAGCCTTTGACCAGAAATTAAGTATTAAAACAAATATTTTAACTAAAAATTTATAAACTACCTAAAACACCCTCATTGAACATCAATGACAACCAATATTTTCCCTTTCTAGTTTGACAAACTCATATTTTCTTCTTCGCCATAAGATTAACAAACTACCCAAATTCCAACATTCAAAATCGATTCAGTTTCATCTTCTCTGCTTCTTCCACTGTAGGATCTGTCTGTCACTATTATCCCACATTTGTTGCTATCACCACGCATTTCAACACCATCGCAAACTGCCATTTCAAAAGAGTTATTCACCCATTCTAGTTTCAAGAACCAATAACGTAGTGGGATATCCTCAGGCTTGAAAACTTCATCTATTCTCATTAATACTATGACTTTGTACTTTTTTAGAGAATTTTAGGTAATTTTTAATTTTTGAGTCCCTTTGAGCCGTTTCTTTTCTTTGGATAACAATGAAGACATGTTTTCAACATAATTATTATTGAGGAATTTTATTAATTTCTTTTTACTAGAGTTTATTATGTTTATTTTAAGTTTAAAGCCCTTCGCTCATACTTGAATCGATTTTTTTCCCGTCATTATCAAATTGAAAATTGATGAACAAATAATTTATTCTGAAGGTTGCTTATTACCCGTGGCCGTGGATGTGTTCATCAACTATTAAAAATTAATGATCAATTCTTACATTGTTATTATACTTTTTGATTCTTAGCTCCATGATACAGTGTGCCAAAATTTGAGGAATTCATGAATAACCCAATAATTTTGGTTATTAAGTGTTTCATGTAGATTTACTTATTTTGTTTGCAGTTAGAGGACAGGGAGAAGAAGAAATATATAAAGTTATTTTAGTTTGTACAATAGCAAACAAGATTAGGAGAATAGATTACGAGAAAAGCTAGGGAGGAAATCAAATATACTTTTTTCCATGCCTGTTGATGTTATTTGGACATTTTGGTTCTTTATTTATGAATTTTTTTATTTTTGGTTAAAAATTTTGTAGGAAGATATAATTTTGCATTTCATTTCACATTTTTATTCCTCATACTGATTGATAGTTTAAGGTAAATGAACATATAATCTAATGGAAAGAAACATGCTGCCTATACTTTTATTGGAGAAAGTCAACTAGGACTCATTCTAGTTTTATTTTGATGCAGCACGCTCATTCTTCAGTGCATGAACTTTTTTATCGCTAGTGGACTATTTATTTGGGGTGTTTAGTTGGTAAAGTATTCAAATCAGACTTTTTATCTGCATACTTCAGAGATTTTTTTTGTCTAATGACTAGCGTCTTAGTGCTATAGAACATCAATTAGTTGTAGGTTTTCAAGAGGGAAATAAAAACAACAAAATTTACTCCTCTGTTTGGAATTGAATGATCTGACATCCTTTCTAACATGTCGAGAACTAACATCTTGTTTCTTACAATAGACATTTTCTTCCAACAGTACTCTTAAATATGAGGTATTATTGACTAATATTGTTGGCCACTAGTTTTGGGATGAAAAATCGAACTTCCACTGAATACTCACCTTTCAAGCTCTTACCAAAACTCAATGTGAGTTTAACCTATGACATGCAATCCAAGATTGAGGGCTAGCGAGTTGTGCAGATTATACTTATGTTAGTAAGTCACATTTTTGTGCAAAGTAACCTGATTAATTTATTGTTGGTTTGTCTTTCTGTTTGATTTCTCTCTGATATTCATGTATCTAATAAGGCCTAGGTAAGGTTTCTCAACGTGTGCATGAAGTGACTTGTTTTCTACATTATTCAATTATTATATGTTGTCAAAGGTGATATTTGGAGTCTCGCTTTTATTTATATTAACTACTTTTGTGACTGCACTGAGTAGGATGAGAATTGAGCCCAATAGTCTTGAAGAGTTTGATCAAATGTCATCCTGTTGTGTATCTAGTTCTGAAAAAGGTGCCCTTTTGTTTTTATAAAAATATCAAAAATATATTGCACTAAGTATCACTTAGCATTATTATAGATTCTTCATATTTGATAATTGATTATTTATTTAACTTGATTGATTTATATTTTTATTGCAGAATTGAAATACTAATTTGAGTATGTGATTCCAATTGACAATAGAAATATAAGCAAATCTTTGACAAAGTGTTCCCCTTTACAAGTTTGATTATATTGGGAAGAAGTTAGGTGATGTTCATCGAGAAATGTTAATGCAATCTTGTTTCGCACAATTCTATATAATGAACCGTATACCATTTTTAGCCCAGCTGGTCCATCAACTTGCTATGAGGGTGATTGTGATCGAAAAAGAAAATGAGATATG